TTCTTGTTGACACTGGAATAGGCAGTAAGAACTAATCATTTTCTTTTCTTTACCTCTGTTGTGTTATATCTTTTATAGTTCTTACCACATTTACTGGTTAAAATTATTTTCCACTTGAGGTTGGAGACTAATTGAAGGCAACTCTATTCAGTCCTTCTGATGTCCCGCATGTTTGTGGTGCTTTATGAGGTAATGTTTTTCATCCTCTTATTTGTTCAGTAGTAGGATAAATTATTTTATTAGTCAAATACTTTATAATTGACAGGATAAAAACCTTAGAATTAAGTATACGCCCATAGAAGGACCTTTCCCACAAAACTTTTGCTTCATGAGACTGTTTTCAGATGGAAAAGTGAGAATCCTATTTATTTAAATATCATAAAAATGTCCAATAATAGCAATTATTGATATCAATGAGTAGTGTTTATTCAAAGCTTCTTTGAACATAAAAGTTTCTCAAACATACTTCATGAAAAAATAGTCTTCCAAGTTTCCCCCAAACTATGGAAAGATTAATAATAAACCAAATATAAAGAATTAATTTTCATAGATCAAAATAAATACACAGCTAAATAATTTTCTATTTCCATGATTCTGGAAACAAAGCCACATATACCCACATAAGTTTCTTTCTGCTTTAGCATGATTTTACTATTTTAGGAAACCTTTGTGCAGGGAGAAAAAAGTTACAAGTAATTATTATTAATTTCAGAAATGCCTATAAGCCCATTTAAATGAACGTTAGACTGTCGAACTTTTCAACAGATAGCATGGAAAGACTGTTTGCTTGCAAAAACTCTTTGAAACTCTCTCCTTAAAAGCTTGTCTTACTGTGTCCATCAATCCTAAACAATCATATGATGAATCTTACCAAAACCTAAACAAATATATTGCCTTAAGCCAACATCAAAACCTCTTAAAAAATCCTAACTTTGCTGTTTGCTTCTGAAATTCTACCAAGATTACGTGAAAGTGGTGATATTCTTGCCACCATAAGCAATAAACTCAACAACTTTTTCTTAACAGGTAATTTTCACAGCATTTTGTCTATTTTTGTTGAATGGTACTTTTTAATTAATCAGCTAGGATTTTCACATAACATTTGAACATACTGTTTCCCAGATTAGGTTTGAGTTCAACAAATTTCAGGGTTGGGGAAAACACAGAAGTTTAAAAAGTGGCACTTGGTATTTTTATAGAATGTATGAAGCTGCATTTTCATAAATTGGGTAGTGTTTGAAATTTCAAATAAAATATAATTAGGCTTTTATTTAAATACAAAAATTGATCCCAAATAATTTTATTTGATTACTTAGTAATTTGGAGTTTATACATGAATGCTTTTTTTTTTTTTTCACTCAGATAAAAAGGTTACCATCTGGTGCTCTGAAACCATAAAAGTAATGAGTTTCCATTCTTAAGTCATCCTAAATCACTTTATGTAGTTGTCCTTTATGAATACTTGTAGTCTGTGATTTAACAATTCTTCACTTATTTCTCTTACACAACTTCTCAGAACACTAATGTTTTGGCCATGTATATAGTTTCAAGTAGCTGAAACAGAATATATATTCGTTTTGGATATAGTTGAACCTGGATTTTACTCTTCGTTTTGGTTTGTACTACATTTGCTATCATTGAAGCTTAAGTAATCTTTCTAAGCTCTCATTTCCTCATTTGCAAGATAATGATAATACAACCGCATTCTGAGATTTGCCTTGAGGATGAAATGAAATGGGGAATTTGCACCTAGTACAGAGCCTGGAGTATAGGAGGCACTAAGTCATTGATAACTATTTTAATTTCTGTTATTTGCCATCTTATCCATGGGCTTCACTTTGACAGTATCTTCTGCTGAGTGACTCTACCTTTTTGCTGATGCAACTACTCTTCTACTGTTTCTTTAATATTCCTTTCTTCCAAATTATTCCATGTAAAATGTACTCTCCCAGTGCTGACATTAAGTTAGTCAGTGAGCATCAGCTTGCTGAAGAGCTGTAAACCTTGGTTTAACCTGCTATCTAAATTGTGGGCCAAAGGCATTGCCTGAGTTAAAATTTTATTTAATCCCATGTATTTTTAAAATGATCAATCTTTATTCTCATATGCAGTTTAAACTATACAATTTAACAATTCTATACTCTGAGATTTCACATGCAACACACATACCTAAGACATTTTATGGTCTATAACAACTTTTCCAACATCGTATTTCAGATGGTCTACAATGAAGAATTAACTTTTCTTTGTTCTCAAGCAAAGGACCTTTGGTAAGTTTCCAAAACATAAATTGATTTAAGTAAATGGGAACTTTAGAGGTGTAATCGATCAGTGATTCAAAATATTCTGTGAGGGACACCTCTAATAGCTATCTTTTCCACATGTCTAAAGGCACCGTACTGCACCTTCTTCATATATGAAAACAATTCTAACAATCTACCACAATCAGTACAACATCTGTTGGCTTTCTGATAGTGAGATTAGAATTGTCAATTCTAGAAGATACAAATTAGAAGGACTTTGAAATTGATCTAGGCCAGATAACTTATAAGCAGCTAGAGGTTCAAGGACTTGCTCAGGTTCACACTGCCCATTAATAAGGATTCAGAGATTCATCTGTAGTACTGTAATTCTATAACTCCCAGGCCAGCACCATTTCTACTTTACTTCAGATTTGGTTTGATCTATGCTCTTTCTCACTGTCTCTACTGAATTAATGACACACATTTGTGAGATGGATGGCCAGAGCTATTGCCATTTTTCTAAAGAGATGTCCATCTGCCCTCTTCAGTTCAACAGAATCCATGCAAACTTTTCTTTCAATGTCTTCTTTATTTTTGTCAAGCCTGGGAAAATGAGAAAAAATGCAAGTGCCAGGCATCACTTCGATCCCATTGGAAAGCCTTTTCATTATAAACAACAAATAGTTGTTGAACTCTCACTTTGCCTATAGTATAGTTTATCATTTCCATTTTTTCTTATTCTGCTGGGTGTCTCCCTTTCAATCTTTATGTCTTTTCTAGAGAATATCTTTTGTTTAAAATTATTCTTAGTCTTCCTCCCCCCTCAAAGAAATAAGCCATGTGTGAGTTTTATTTTATACACAGGCATTTGCTTGTGGGGAAATGTAAACTTCACATACTGGTTATACTTCATATGGTTACTCCTTCATATAATGAAACTTCATATGGTAGCCTCCTTCATGAGACAAGGTGATGAAACTGCCTTCTGCAAGACACATTTTTTAAATTCAGTATCAAGCATACATACTGTAGCTGTATTACTTTCCTATGAGTAATTTTGAAAAGAAAAATGTCACAAAGTTGCTGTGACCATCATGTATATGGGACAAAAGTAAGGGGATACAAAAGAAGACCAGTTCAGTGCTAAATGGCTGAGTCTGGGTGTGAGGAATAATGGCACCTGGAAGACAGTAGTAGTCTTTGAAGATCATGATAAATATAAGGATCTGGGAAAATACACCCAAAGGATTTGCTGGTGGACTGGATATGGGGCACGAGGGAAGAAAAGCAGAAACATGATGTCTACTTTTAAGTTTTTTAAAAATTGTGCAAATTCAAGTGAGGATATCTGATTGGCCATTATGGTGTTGGAACTCCTGGGAGGAGGTGGGAGGCATCAATATTGATGATATGTTAGCAATGTCATTGTCAAGGTCACATAGGAATAGTGAGGAAATGGAGATGACTGGGCCAAGTACTGAGTGAAAGGAGGTAGGTAGATCTGTGAATAATACAATTTAGAATGAGAATGTGTTTTAGAGGGAGGCAGTAGTCATCTGTACCAAATGGTGCTGTGAGATTGGTCAAGTGAGGGCAGAAAAATGCCCATTGATCTCGGCCGCTTGCCTCTCATTGATTATTTTTACAAGAAAGATTTTAGTGATGTGATAAAGAGGGATGATCAATTGGAGTAAAAGTGAAGAGAGAATGGAAGCAGAGGAGAATGACGTTAGCAGGAAGAAAATTAGCTCAAGAAGTTCAGAGAAGGGAAATATGAGGTTGTGACAGATAAGGTAGCTAAAGCTGAAGGAGTTAGTTTATTTTTAATTTTTAAAATAAGTAAACAGATAAACAGAATTATACAATGTGACTAATTCCAAATTTTGATGTGTAAAAAAATTGTAATTTTATTTTGTCTACTGCTAATTTTGCCTATTCATTAGCTGACACCTGCCAACTAGAGGAGAAAAGTTAATTGAATGTCCTTTTCAGGCAAAGTCTAGTCCAATATGATGATTTATATTATCCTACTGATAAAGATTTCTAGAAGAAAAAAATAATCAGGTTCTTATGATGTCTCCCCCAGTTTCTTTCTAATAGAGTTTCTCTCTTTTATGTATGGAAGGTGGGTGTTGCTTTTGCATCCCTATGGTGAAGAAAAAGACTCAGTTTCTTCTTTTCTGGGGGATGGTCTTTTATTCTGGGTATTTAATGCTGAAATCTTGGCTCTAACTCAAGGTCTGCTTACTCATACATGATCAATTGTCCCTGGCTCTCTGAGCATTGACTCTCTCCCCAAGCCCTTATTATGTCTGTATTCTACCCTCTAGCCCAGTGCTAGAGACCAGCCAATGTGAAAAAGTCATTTTATGAGACAAGGCAGGCCCCATGGAATACGCACAGGCTAAATAACATTCATGCCCCCCACACACTGAGAGATTTAAACATCAAGAGCACTCTCTGGTAACCTGACCACATTGCAACCCCAAGTTGGTAAAATTAGGCCTTGGTTTGGTTTGCAAAGCCAGTGAGTCAGAATTGGTCTTTCCTAAGTTATAAAGGCAGAGCCTCCAGTACTATTGGTGATACTTGCATTTATTCAATGCAATGTTTTTGACACTCCACCAAAGCCAGAGAGAGAAATATTTATTTATATCTGGAATCATCCTCCCATCCTGAATCAAAAAAAGCATGTTTAGTATGTATTACATTTTTTAATACCTGCATTTAAATTTTACACCTCTATGCTTTTCCTAGGTATCCAAAAGGAAAGGAATTTAACTCTTGACTTTATCCTCTATGCTGAAGAATTCCTGAGATCAGCGTTAAGAAAGGTAAAAGCCAAAAGTTCATCATCTATATTTAACATATTTTCTTCCTATACATTTTAATATGTTGAAAATAATCTAGTAGAGGAAAAGAGACCAATGATGGAAAAAAGAAAGCTGATTCTAGGAGAGAAGGCCTTGCGTAGGGAGGAAAGGATGGAATATGCAATACAAATGGATGTGTTGATTATTTATAGGACCAGAGACACTTCATCCATTTTAACAGCAGACAAATGGGAAGCGTGGATGCCTATGCAGGAGGGCGGGAAATGTAATGGAAGAAACAGGGAAGGTTTCACAACTGATTCTATCTGTGTTTTCTGTGAGATAATGAGACTACATCATCGGTTGAAATCAAGAAAAGAAGAGAGAGTGCCAGAGATTCCCACTCTAAAGAGAAGATGAGAAATATTTTATAATTTTACCTTATTTTATATATAAGACATTTCTCCTACTTGAAATGTTGAATATCTCTTAACTTTTTCACAGCCTTGCCTGTTTTATGATTAATATCAAAGCATCAATAATTTTTAAAAAATCAATGTTTAAAAAAATACAAAACAAAATAAGTTATAGACTTATACCTTTTATGTGTTAGCAAAAAAAGTTATAGTACTCAGTGATGGCAAGGTAACTTATTTGTAACTTACATTGCCTTAATGCAACTGAAATGAGTAAAAATGTTTTATTCATTCAGTTACTAATTTATTCATCAACTATTGACTGTTTCTTATGTGCCAGACATTGTTTTAGGCACTAGGAATCTAACAGAGAATAAAACAGATGAATATCTCTGTTCTTGATGAGCTTTCTTCCTAGTAAAAAGAGAAGATGGATATTAATAATGGTAATAAAATGTCAAAAATAAAGAGTAATGTTTACCAGTTGAGGACTTGCTATATCCCAAATACTTTGATTAAATATTTTATTTATTGTATCATTTGATACTGAAAATAACTCTATTAGGAATATTAAGAAGGGAAGCTATTAATTAGCGAACCATATAGAGTAAGCTTAGTTTGTAGTAATAACTTACAGTACATGTAGATCATAGAGCTACTGGCAAGTTAGGAACAGAAAACCAAATAGCAGTAGAAATGGCTAGAGTAAAACGTGAGAGAAGCTTCTGGCCTGGGGATGGTACCCAGAGGTACTGAGTCCTGGCCTCTGTGCCAGGTACTTTCACAGGCATTGCACATACCCTGGGTTTAATCCTTACCCTGGTATAATCCTTGCGAAAGCCCTTTGAGCAGGTATTGTTATCCTCATGTCATGGATGAAAAGCCTGGAGGTTATAAACCATATAAGATCACACAGCACATGGCAGAATCTCTTTCTCTGCAGCTTGGCTCTTCTCTCTTTCTCATAGACTCAGAGAAACTACAGCAGGGAGGCTATTTTTTGAGGAATAATATATTGAAGTACATGAGAGGAGGGAAAAAAGCCTTCCTGCATTGCCAAAGATGATAGCATGAATGAAAATAAAATTGGAGAACACATGGCTGCTGATGAAGCCTATAAAGATCATACAACATATCTGGGAAGATGGAAGAAGACAGAAAGAAGTATAAGTGATTGAAAAGTAGGACAGTGAATTAGTTCAGCAGGTTTAAACACTGACTTCTATACTCTCTGGATCCAGGCATCTATCACCCAATCTATATAAAAAGTTATTGGTAGTCAAAACTAAAACTTGGCCAGGCGCAGTGGCTCATGCCTATAATCTTAGCACTTTGGGAGGCTGAGGCAGGTGGATCACCTGCTCGGGAGGCTGAGGCAGGAGAATTATTTGAACTCAGGAGGCAGAGGTTGCAGTGAGCCACAATTGCACCACTGCACTCCGGCCTGGGTGAGACAGTGAGACCCTGTCTCAAACAAAACAAAGCAACACCCTAAAACTTGCAATACAGGTCTAAAGTGTCTGAGGAATTTAACTATATAGTAAATAAAATTATTCAAAATGTGTGGTCGTTATTCTCAGGCAATTGATTTTTGTTAAAATTCTCAGTTTCTGTGTCTGGGCATGACATAGATTAAATCAAACTACCTTAATTTGGAGAAATTCTGTGCTTACTTACGTTCAGGTAGGGAGGTGAGGACACCTGTATCCCTACCTATGGGCAGAAACAAATGAGTGTTACAGAATTACTATTCCACTCAATTGCCCAATATTTCCATTTTACCACCATCTCTCTTACGTGAGTTTCTCCCAGGCCCTTAGTCTCTTAACAGGTGTTCTTGCTTTTCCTTTTCCCATACCAATCTATTCTCATCTTACTAGATCAAGTAATATTGCCAAAATATGAGATAATATCACTCATCTGCTTAAAATCTTGCCTCACTTCATTCAGATTCAAGGCCCACAAGACCTTACATGTTTGTGTGTTTATAATTTTTATTATGTTCCATTTCTTTCCTCTGTGTATACATATTCATTCCCTTCCAGCCATACTGATTCCCTTCCCATTTCTCTAACATGCCAGTTAGCCTCTCCCAATAGAGACTTTGTTCTAGGGGCTTAGAACACTCTCCCCCAGATATCTACATGACTAATATATGACTACACAATATTTTCCTGCCTCGTGGGATTCCTTGTTCTGTTATCTGAATGTCATTTTTCCATGAGGCCACTCCAGCTCCATCTTACTTTGCTCTATTTCTTACATACTCATAATATATCACTTTATTATAATAACTGCACATTGTCTATTTTCCCTGAAAGAGTATTACTCTAGATGAAAGGAATCTTTGGTTCAGTAGGTGTATGCTAGGTACATAGCAGACATTGAGTAAATATTTCATAATAACTGGCTTTTATGTCGGCAACTAGTGTTTCATTGCTGAATATAGTGACCCATATACAGCTGGTACCCAATAAGTACATGGACTGATTGATTTTCTATACTTTGTAGGTGAATTCACATCTCCTTGATCTAATTTTCCTGGAACTTACACCGACACATACATTTCCTCTTGTCTCCTCCTTATGGACAGACCTCCATTCATTTTCCTAATATTTCAAGTTTAAGCATATCATTAAGTTCTACTGAGTGAAGACAGTGGGCTTGGACAGTAAATGTCTCTCTTTACTCCTTGTTTGTCCTAAACCCATAGTTGCCTGAGAACATTTACCACTTGTGTCAATTCACAGGGGCGAGGTGAAGGATAGGGCACTGTGTTTCAATTCCTTATCATTTCACTCACCCATTTCTCATTTTATCTTTTATACATATATGTATGTACCTCAGTACACAAATACATACTATTCATAATTATGAGAATTATTAGGACTTGATCATAGCCTTTTTTTCATATCTGTAAACATGTGCAAACATAAATTATCTTGGTGTATAGGTTTTGTTAGGACATTGCTCTTTTCCTTAATTTTTTACATGATTTCTCTTGTATTTCTTTAAGTAGTCTCTTTCTGGTGTTAATGAATAAACTGGCAATTTTTATTTGTATTTATTCTTTTTTTCTAAGATAGAATATTCTGTAAATTTTGTTTGAAATATAGGAAAATCCTTGAATGGGGTTGTCAGGTCATTTACCCATCAGTATGAATTTGGGATTAATGGAAAATTTGCCAATTGATCTACCTTATCTTCATTCCCAGTGAAAATAGTTTTATGGTTGTATATGCTTATCAGCGCAGTTATTTCATAGTGTTCTAAAAACTCCCTAGTAAAGAGTAATTAGAAAAGCACTTCTGTTTATAGTAAAGTCAGAATGAGTAATTTGAACATACACACTTGCTAATTATAAATTAAATATATAGATGAACTAAAAAAAATCTTTCCAAGCATTAAATACCTACCAAGATAATGAGGAGTAATTGGACCAAGATGTAAGAGAAGGAATTCAGAAAGATGAGCCCAGAATTTGGAATGCCTTGCTTTAGGAACATCTGCTAATCTAGAGGAGCTGCTGAGCAGGTATTTGACAGAGATTCAGGGCTTCAGGGACAAAAGTTGAAGTCCACAGCTTGCCAAGGGTGAGCTCCCTGGATGAACTTCCTTACATAAATGCAGGAACCAAATCTGGACGGGAGACTGAACTAGAAGTCAGACAGTCTTGGAACACATTGCAGCCCAGTGTGAAGTCATTTTGGTGAGCAAGACAAATTAGATTCAGGTAAACCTGTAAGACTAGCGTCTACAGACACCTGTGAAGCAAATGAAAATCATCTCCAGATGATAATAGCATTATCTTGGCCTCAAATTATTTCTACTATATGTTTCAAATATGATGTCTGGTGCACAAGGATAACTAGGGCACAAAGAAAGAAGGCAACATGAAAACGAATTGTCAAAAATGGCAGACAGCAAACAAGGCCACACAGGTGTGCCATATGATAAGAATATTGGGCTCAGATTGGGCAAAAGTTTTTACTACACTCATGGAAATAAAAACAAACTTTAAAATGTTATTAAGGAATTGAAACCTACATACCATGACATTCTGGTTTTTAAAAACAGAATTGCCTGGGAAACACACTGAAAAATACAAAAACCAAAATGGAGAGCTCAGGTGATGTGTTTGAAGAGAGTAGACACAGTTGAAAATGGAATTCATGAATAAGAAGAGAGGCAAAAAGAAACGATCCAGAACAAAGCTGAAGAGACAAAATATGGCAAGCACAAGACAGAGGGCTAGAGACCCAGAAGATAGAGTGAAAAAGTTAAATATATATTTGCTTGGAATCCCAAAAAAGAGAAAAGAAGACATGAAGCAGAAAGAATATTTGAAGGGAAAATCATTTTTCAAATCGTTTGGAAGACACCAAGAAACAGAGTCACAAAGCACCATTTCAAATAAAACTGTGAAGACTAATCGGGAGGAAGAATAATAAAAATCAGTGAATTATGTTAAATTCGATTGAAGAGTATTTCATTAGGATACACTGTTTTCTGGTACAATCTATATAAACTCTACTAGAAAACAATCTTACTGGTTAGAGATTCCACTTAATAAAAAATCTGAAAAGATTTAGAATTAACGTATCAATTATTGAAAGGTATATCTAAAAATGACTGAAAATGGTTTATTATCTAAATTGGTTACACTTTCTCCTTTCTTGATACATTTTGTGAATTCATTTTGTTTCAACGAACAAGGAAATTCATTTTGTTTCAACAGACAAGGAAAGAAAAATAACTCCAGGTATATGAAAATTCAGTCTCAGATTGAAAATTAATATATTTTCAATTGATATTTATTTACTTTAGTGTAATGAGATGAAATCACCATTGTCCTATCAGATGGCAGGCTTTATATAAATCTGTTCATATAGAGTTTTAATAGGATATTAAATTAAGGAAAACAGAACTCCCTAATCTTGGCTCTTTGTTCCCTACCCCTGCTGTGGGTTTTTTTTTAAAACAATTTTTTTTTCCTT